TATGGAGACTCCCTTTGCATCTTAGAAGCTGCTCTATCACTGCAAGCAGCTAGGCCCCTGAACACACATTTCTTTTCTTTATAAAGGAGCCAGTACCTTCCCGGGCACCAAAAGTCTCCGGGTTGGGAGGGAGGTGAGAGGCTGTGGGCAAACGCAGCGAGGTCAACCACAGACACACGATACTGGAACCTTCTACACTGTTGCTGTTATGGCTGCTGCTACTCATAAAGCAAATATTTTTGAGGCCCTACTATGTGCCAGGGACCATTCCCCATGCTTATTGCCCCATTTCATATATATGAGGGAATGAAGGCCCCGAGGGGTGACCTGCCAAAGATCCCATTTGCTCCTGTCTACGGGAAGGATCTATCCACTCTATCACTCAAGACCTTTGCCAGGTTCAAGTTCCACCCATGTGGTTCCTGGATCCCAAGCGCACTGGGCAGTGCTGCTCATGCTACAATGGGGCTGTCTGGATGTTCTCTGGCAGGAGAGACGTTTTCTGGAACAGTGAAGGAAGATGGCTGGCCCAGGACACGCCGGAGTGTCCAACTCCTGTGCCGGAGAGTGACAGAGTCTCTGCTCTAGCCTGGCCGCAATGCCCTCCACTGGCCTCCTCTCTGCAGCCCTTGCACTTGGGGGCCTCCCGGGGCTTTCTCTGGCCTCTCTTTGCTTTGGTGGCTGGGGTATCCCCAGGTCCTGCCCCTCCCCTTCCTTCTGTTTAGGCCCCTCAGAGTCAGACGTGTAGAGACCCCACACTTGACACATCCAAAGCCCAAACCAGCTCCCCATTCATGCCTCCTCTTCCTCTATTTTCCACCTTGCACCCCACCCACTCACGCACTCAGCCCAGAGGGACTCTTCCCACCCCCACCCCAGCCCCAATTACTTATTTACGTGAGCATTCTCAGTGCCGAGAGCCATGGGATTTTTTAACAGCAACATAAAGGACACTAAACCCTGTCTTGCTACAGCAATAATTCCTCTTCATCCACAGACACCAGAACTAATTGGGGAAAGAAGAGCCACGCTCAGCTCATTAAAATACGCATTCTCATTCCGTTTACTCCTCATTACTCAACGCTTCAAAATGTGGGTGTTCGCGATTTCGGACAAGCCATCGTTTCAAAAGGTAACTCAGCTGAGAAGACACCGTCAACAATTTAAAGCTTGTGATCCGTGTCGGTGTCAGTGCCGCACTGGGGATGGCGGGCGACAGTTCTGTGAGACGCCAGCCCTGGAGGGACACGGGGACAGGCCCTGGTGGATCTCTTGTCCTCTTTCTCCAACCCCGTGTAAATACACAACTGTATCCAAATGGGAAGTTTAGCTAGAAAACTTATTACAGAAGATGTATTCCCTTCTAAATATGCCCTGAGCAGACAAACAGGTAAGCAATAAAGACTGAGAAAAGCAGCATGAACGCGCTGCATCAGCACAAGGTTCTACTTGGGAGATGACGTGGAAACACAAATTCAAAGAGGAGGAGGGTCAGGAGCCATCTCCCAGCGGTAAAAACGTGCCTGAGCACAGACTGTTTCAAATAAATGATGGTGGGCATCAAAGTGCTCCACGACTGAGGATACGTTTAGAAAAGTAAACTCGAGATGCCGATCATTTAAAACAGTATACCAGAAGTTCTATTACTCGCTACCACTTAAACCTACAATTGACCTTTTAGATGTTGCTCTTAGGCTGCATGTGGGGTGCAGAGTTCTTTCCAAAGTCTCGTAGAGCGCAGGAGGGAGCAAAAAGAAGTGTGAAGAGTAGCCAAGTACATTCCACTCCTAAGTATGTCCAGGTTTCAACCGCCCGGACCTTGGCGTCCACCGGCTCCTCCGGTCTGGAATGCCCTCTCCCTGTCTGCCAAGCAGGGCTCTCTCGGCGCTCCTCGCGGGGCGCAGCCCCCCTGGGAACTCCTCCCCGGATGCTTTTGGCGCAGTGTGGCACTTCCTCCCCAGCGCCTGCCTGACCTCACGCGTGGTATCATCGCACTGCACCATGAGTGTGTATTTACACGTCTGCCTGCCAGGGATGCTGTGCAACCCCCTTGGGTGACTTCCTCTGTCATCCTGTCTCTGGTGCTGCCACAAAACAGGTTCAACAGGGTTCGAATGAATGAATGATGGAGTGTGAGCCTGGGATTCACCGCTTAGAAGAGGGAGGTTTTACCACTGAAATGAGTCTCCTGCCGTGGAAGGTATATTTTCAATTTAAGCGCTGGGTGCTAAGGCTAAACATGTCACACAGCCACACATCAGAGTTCAAGGGGACCTTGTGCATTCACTGACTCACACAGAACCCTGCCCCAAGTTCCCGCAGCACTGGAAGTGCAGCATTGCGTGGAAGGCGGAAACGGCGTGAACAGCAAAGCAGGACCACGGCCGCCTGGGTCTTTGGGGGCAGTCACTGCAGCCATCGATCGTCAGAGACAGGACTCGATCCTCCGACTTTCAGGCTAGTGGACTTGTGGGCTGGGTCACCCCTGGAGGGACACGCCCTCAAAACGTAGGCGTCTCACATGTTAACACAAACAGTCAACCTTGAGTCTTGACTTAGGTTCTGAAAGGACTCTGTTAAGAAAAGTCTAAATGTCTTCCCCTATCCTGTTATACCAGCCATTTGTACTGCTCTACACCTGGCTTAGGTCGACACAACTCCTTTGTCCAATCACATGATGGTCAAACCAGAAGAAATAAGTACAAACTCGAGCAATTCCGTATCGAGTCAGATCTCCTAGCTGCTCGGTCTGCTTCGGAAAATCACATTACAGGTCACATTATAGTGGAGCATGGCTGCCCCTCAGATGTTTCGGAGTAAAATATAAGTATCCCCAGCTTCCTTTGCAACTCGTGATGAGTCAATAATCCATGAGGTCATTCTGGAAGCCATGTAAATTTAATGCCTTCACTCAGGAATTCACTCATCCCTCTGTGCGGCAAGCACTGACAGAGCGCCTGCTGTATGCCAAGTTCTGTGCTTCTGCAGATGGGTCATGGACCTTATTCAGATTTCACAAGGTCTTCCATGCACTCGTGAGTGTGTGAGTGTGTGCGTGCGTGTGTGCGCAGCTCTACACAGTTTTATCACAGGGACACCTTTGCGCAATCACCACCACAATGAAGATGCTCAACTGTCCCGTCACCACTAAGACGTCCCGTCTGCCGTCCTTCCTGTGGGGTCCACACTCACACCCCTCCCCCTCCACCACTCCCCATTCCCAGTGCCAGGCATGCGTTCTCTTGTCCTCTGTCTCGGTAAGTCCGCCGTTTTGAAAACACGACATAAATGGAGTCACACAGCGCGTAACTTCCGGGATTGCTTTTCACTCAGCACAATACCCTTGAGATGCACCCGAGTCACTCCATGCACTAACACGTATCCCTCTTTACTGCTGAGCAGTGTCCCCTTGTCCTAGAGAGGCGACACCGTTGCTTTAAGCAGTCAGCTCTGAAACCGCTTGTGTCAATTCCAGCAGTTTGAAGCTATGACGAATAAAGCGGCTACGAAGACAGATGTAAACGTTTTTGAATGGGTGTATGTTCTGTTTCTCTGTCATCGATGTCCAAGAGTCTGATGGCCGGATCACACGGTAGGTGTACATCTAGTTTTATAAGAAATTGCCAAAGTGTTCCAGAGAGCGTCTGTGGCGTCCTGGATTCTCGCCAGCAGTGGGCGAGGGATCCAGTTTCTCTGCATCCTCACCAGCATTGAGTACTGTTGTTATTTAAAAACAAGTGTTATAGTATAGTTGGCGTCCAATATCATATTAGTTTCAAGTGTACAATACAGTAATCTGACATTTACATACCTTATAACGTGACCGCCCTGGTAAGTCTAGTAACCGCCTGTCGGCACGCCAGTGTGTCACACCGCCGACCGCACTCCCTGTGCCATGCCCTATCCTGCCAAGTGTTTAGTTATAACTCGTGTGGTTTTAATTTGTATTTCCCCAATGGCTAATGACATGGAACATCTGCTCCCGTGCTTATGTCCCATCTGTGTGTCCTCTTTGGTAAAAGGTTTGTTCCTGTTCTTGTCCATTTTCTAGCTGGAATGTTTGTTTTACCATTGAGTTTTGAGAGTTCTTTATACATTCTAGATACAAATCCTTTGTGAGATGTATGGTTTGCAACTATTTCTTCCAAGTCTAGTGTTTGTTGGTCTTAACAGTCTTTCTCAGGGAAAAAGTTTTAAATTCTGATAAAAGTCAATTTATCAGTTATTATTTATGTGGGCGATGCTTTTGGTGCATGGATAAATATCCTCTCCGTGCAGGCCTGCCCTGAAGACTTTCCCCTATGTTTCTCTTGAAAGTTCTACAGTTTTGTTTCTTATATTTAAAAATCCATGGTCTGTTTTGAGTTCACTTTTGTACGAGGTGTGAGATTTGCATGAAGATTCATTTTCTTTTGCCTGTGGAAGTCCAATTCCTTCAACGACATTTGTGGAGAGTACTCATCGCCTAGCAATGTCTGCACTGCATGTAAGAATGTCCCTCCTTCCTTCCCCGCAGTGGTCCCACAGTCCCTGTCTCCTACATTTTCACGCACACGTCCTTCTAGGGGTTCATCCGTCCTTTCTGCTTCCCTCCCCCCAAAAACTTTCTGGCTCTGTTCATGTTTTCTAATTTCCCTTCTATTTTATTTACTTTTTCTCTTATTTAGATCACCTCCTTCTGTCTCCATTCCTTTGGTTTAATAGGGTTACGCCCCCCAGATGTAAAACGGACCATGTCCCACGTCATCGCTGCATTTACATCTCGAGTACCGGCTTGGTCTGCAACACCCCACGCACCTCCCGCCCTCTGCTCCAGTGCCTCTCACTTGTCTGCCCTGAAACATGTAGACAAACCCTCCCAAAAGCCACCCTCAGCCAAAAGAGCTAACTCACTGAGTAAAATGTATGTTTTCTCTTTCTTTTTTCCCCAAACTCACTTTCGCAAACTCTCTTTGGGCCTCCTCCTGTCCGCAACTGTATCTGGTCTACACGGCACTTACCCAGGTGGCTGACAGCGTCCTTGTCCCAGGGCCAGGTGGCGGCCCCTGCAAGGTCGTCCCGCACCGAGCTGGCGAAGTAGACGTTGAGGAAGTGCGTGCCGTTGAGTTGAAGCGCCTCCTTCAGCTCCTTCACACTCATGTAGGCCCTGGGTGGGGGGAGAGGGCAGAGCGTCACACAGGAGTCCGTGCGCGGGGTGGGGGCAGCACTGCGGCACGCAGACTCTGGCACCCCCGGCGCTGCCTTCAGGGGCACAGAGAGGCAGGGACCGGATGGTCAGGAAGTCCACATAAAACGCACCAGTTCACATTGGGGATATTATTCCAAGGTCAGTGATGCCCCACATTGTTAGCATTAAAATATTTATGTGAGCCCTCAGTATGTGACCTCAAGTTCAAGTCCCCTCTCCACACCCAGATAATTTCTTCAGGATAAACCCAATGACCTGGCTGGTGTAGCTCAGTGGATTGAGCGCGGGCTTTGAACCAAAGCATTGCAGGTTCGATTCCCAGTCAGGGCACATGCCTGGGTTGCAGGCCACGGCCCCCAGCAACCGCACATTGATATGTTCTCCCTCTCTCTCTCTCTTTCTCCTTCCCTCTCTCTCTCTTTCTCCCTCCCTTCCCTCTCTAAAAATAATAAATAAAATCTTTTTTAAAAAGTCATGGAAATAAACTAAAAAAAAAAGATAAGCCCAATGAGACGCCCAGTTCTGTGCCCGAGAAGGACCCCCAGGCGGTGCTGGAGAGGGCCTTCTGCCTCTCGGTCCCCAGCTCTTCCCATCCCACTGTGCGACCAGCATTGTGGCGGGACGACCAACGGAATCTTTATTCCAGGGCATGCTTGTTTCCAGGCAGTATTGTTTAAAGGGGAAATAGGGGCTACGAAGGAAAGTAAAAGAGGGAAAAAAGAGATGAGTGATAGGTAGGAGAGGATGCCACAAAGCTACTGCAAGGAATATTAATTATATATATATATATTTTTTCTCTTTCTAGTCCCTTAACCCACAGAAACTCTACCCCTACTCCAACTACCTTCTGATACCAAGTATCTTCATTGGTGGTCTTCAAAGCACATGGCAATATTATGTTTACACACAGAATCAACGGTCTATTAACACATGCCCCATGGCCCATTAAAAAAAAGAGAAAAACAGGGAAACTCACATCCGATCTCTTCATAAGCTCATGTATCATCAAATACCTTCATCTGCCTGGCGCCAGGGAAACGTAAAACTTTCCCGTGAGTGAAGAAAGCCTGCCACACTCACTGACAAGCTCTTCGAAGAAGGGACAGTGAAACCACGGTCTGACACGCCAAAGAGGGGAATGTGCTCACCGCAGCCTCAACTGGGCCACAGTTCACTCAGCCTGCGCTGGATCGCATTTCGTAGTCGCTATCCCAGCAGATGAGCCGCAGACGATGAAACCTCCCACCCCAGAGGCTCCCACTAGACTAGCATGGCCCTCCTCCTCTCGCCTGCTTGGTCTCCCGACCACACTGTTGATGCCATTGACCCAATCCACATGTGGGGCGCACTGGCGAGGAGTGCCCAAGGAACAGAGACCCCAAAGACCGTTTCTGTATCCTTTGGAGCAGGACCAAAAGGAAAAATAAAAGTAAAGAAACAAAAATGACCTTGCTTTAGAAGCACCAGAGATGCTTAGGAGAAAATGGACTCGAAAAACACTCTTTCTCACTGAGTTATAATATCTTGGAAGAACAGTTCTCAGCCCCCCAAAATCATCCCCTTCCATGAGGTGATGTCAGATGTGATCGATCGGAGGGGCATTCCTTCTGCTGCTTTCCTGGAGACACTGTTTTTGGACTGTCACGTGGTTTTCCCTGAACCTTAGTCATATCCTGTTTCCCTTTCTCCTTTATTAAAAAAATAATTGATTTCCTGCATTGACAAATTGATGGTTTGGAGCTGTGATGGCATCAAATAATTCTTCAACATGGAGATGTTTCAATAGGCCAGAGAAAGGAGCAGAGGGGGCAGATGGGAAAAAAAGGGGGAAGAGGGGGAAGGGGGAGGGGAGGGGAGGGAAGAGAAGGGAAGGGAAAGGAAGGGAAGGGAAGGGAGGTTACAGAAGGGAAAGTTACATTAAGTTAAGTAAAGGGGGAGGAGAGGGGAGGGGAGGGAAGTTACAGAAGAGAAGAAGTTAAGCAAAGGGAAAGGGAAGGGGAGGGGAGGGAAAAGAAAAAAGAAAAGAGCAGCAAGAACCAGAGACCGAGCCACTGCGCAGCTCAGGTACCACGGAAGAAAAGTCATACCCTCCCCTGTTTCTACTCCAGAGTTCCCAAGAAAATGAGGAGCTGCTAACCTAACGGTTCCCTCTCTTTTCCCCACCCTCATTTTCCCAGATCCCCCTGGCCCTGGTGCGATTTATTTGGGCTATCTGTGTGTTCCTGGCGTCTCTGTCTGCCCGGAGCAGGTCCAGAAACTGAGTTGTGTTTCTCCTTTTGTCCAATCCCTCCTGCTGTCAGGCCCACGGCCCTCGCTGCATCATGCACACACTTCCCACTTCCCTCCATGCCCCAACTCTGGGTTGCTCCGCATGCACCCCGACTGGCTCACAGTCCGCCCCTCCCCCAGCTCCTGCCACCCGAGGAAATGGCAGTATTTCTGTGAAACACTCACTGAAAACACAGTCCTGTTTCTGACCTCTTTACCTCCGATGACCTTCACACTCCATTCGCACTGTTGCCCTTGCTCAGACAGACTTTTTAACGTTCCTGATCTGATGCAGCTCTTCAGTCCTGTCTGTCTGTATCTTTATTGGCCAATGGGCATCTCCTCTCCGGAAATTATTTGACATCTTCGCCAATCTTTCCTTGCCCGCCCTCCCCCACCAACCCCCATCTCTCACTCCCTGGACTCTAGGTAAATGATCACACCTCCTTTTTGGAGGATAAAACGAAGGCCATTCATCAAGAGATTCCTGTCTCTTTCTCTCTCTCACACACACACTCAAACATTTACTCCCTTACCTATTTCTATTCCTTTTCCTGTGGATGAGGTTGCTGAGAAAATCACAGTTAATGCCATCTTTTTCCTTCTTCCTTTCCAATCCAAAATTCTTGAAAGAATAATTTCCTCACCTCCCACTCACTTCTTTTTTCCATGCACTACCCCCTAATCCCACTGCGACCTGGGTTTCATCTTTGACATCTACAATCCCGGCACCTGGGTTGTAGGCTCCGTGCAGATGACTGAGTGAAGATGGGCACCAGGGCGGGCCCTGGTCCACTGTGACTGGGCCCTTGTAACAGGCGGAAGTTTGGACATAGAGGGACATGTGCGGAGGGGGGTGACGTGAACACACCAGCAGGGTGCCAGCTACGAGCCAGGAAAGGCTGGAAGCCATCAGAAGCTAGGAGGGAAGCCTGGAGCAGAAGCCTCCCCCATTGCCCGCAGGAGGGACCAGCCGCACAGACACCTGGACCTCTGCCCTCCAGCCTCCAGAACTGTGAGACAGCGAGTTTCTATCATTTAAGCCTGCCGTGTGTGGCACTTTGGTACAGCAGCCCATGGGACGAATGCAGCCCGCATCACTCCAGGCCTCCGGGCCATCTACCCCATGGGTTTAATCTCCCCACCCAACCGAGAGCTCCAGCCTAATTTAATTTTCTTTTCTGTTCATTCTAGAATTCTACTAGTTGCTCAGCTTTAAACCACAGCCAGATACCTAAGCATCCAAATAGTCTACAACCTCTATAGAATCTTCTTTCAAAAAATCTTCAAAATATATCCCTATTTTTCCCTTCCCACTGTCAATACGTGGAATAGGACCTGGTTGGGAGCGGTCCTGCCTGGTTTCAGGGACTGTAGCCTCATTAATGGACAACACAGTCCCAAAGCTAGGGCTGAGTGAACAGGCCTCGGGGCCATGAGCCACTAAGGAGACAGAACCTATTCTCCTGGCAGAAGCACAGCCCCCCACCTCCCTCACTTCCCCCTGCTTGGCCCGGGCAGATGACTGCTTAGCCAATGATGGGTAAGATTCCTCAAGGGAGGAACAACCTAAGACAGGCATAGTTGCAAAGGGACCATCAGGGAAGGACTTAGGGGACTATAGAGAAGGGGCAGAAAGGCCCTCACCCCTCGGCTTTGTCCTAGCCTGAGTCCTCATTCTACCTGTAAAAGGTCCCCTAATATCTTGGCTACTTTCCTACCCTTGCCTGACTCAGCCTGAAAGCAATGCCACAGGCAGCTGCAGCCATTATATGGGAACAAATGGCTCCCAGGGGCAATTCTGGCCTGAGAAAAAATGTACATTTTGTCCTCTGAAACCCACCCTGCCTAACATAACCCTGTTGATATAAACTGGATGTTTCAGTTCAAGGCATAAAGAGTAAACTCCTTATCTCATGAAACACGTCTTAAAGACCCTCTGGCATCAGCATGACTAACAGACCCTGACCTATGACAATTCTCTGTGCTCCTTCAATTGTTATCTATAGATAATACCTGTTTTTGTAAGACTACAGGCTTTTGACATTGATTCATGAGCTATGTGTGCTTGCTGTACACCCCTACACACACCAACCCCAATAAAAGCAAGACTGTGTCTGGGACAATTTATTCTCATCCGTGGCAGCCGGGAGAAACTCTGGGATGGAGTTCTCCCTCAGGACTTCTTCATGTGTCGGGTACTAAAATGTCTTATTTTTCTTCCTCTAATATCATGTCCACTCCAGTCCCCTCTGTGAAACATCGAAACTGGTATATCCCTATTCACTCTTGGTTCCCTGTGGCCACAATAAAGTTCCTTAAATTGCCACTCAAAGACTTTTAAGCCAGACCCCAGCCTACCCTCCAGGCTTGGCTTAGCACCACTATGCCACTGATTGAGCTAAACTGATTTGTACACTGATGTCAAGCACGCCTCCGATTTTTTTGGTTTTGAGGTGTTGTTCAGTTGATTGGTTGTTTTTTCAGGGGTGGGGGAGTGGGGCTCCCTGCTTTGCTTAAGTAGTTCTCCCCTTACATGTACAATGAACAACACTGTACCCGACATTCAAGGCCCGTTTTCTGTCTCACTTCTTCTGAGAGGCCCACAGTGATTGCCCAGCCTGAAATTAGCCCCCACGTCTGAGTCACTGTCATTCAGTCCAGTCTGCAACACGATGGACTGCAATATG